CACACATACACACATACACACATACACACATACACACATACACACATACAGACACACTAACTGCAAAGACTCCCATTTTGTGCTTCGCACATGGGAGTCAAAAATGGACTAGACATAATAATGGTCGTTATACCCTCGTCATTTTCAAACTGCAGTTGAAAACGTGATTTGCTCAAAGAAGGCACTTTTGATTTGACAAAGTCCATCAAACCGTTATAATCAAGTTTTCCGTCTGTGTATCCCTGATGTACTCTCCCACCATGGTATGAAATCTGGATTTGATACATAATGCACCAGTAATGTAAAACCAACTTTTTGTTTGGCTCAAAACTGTCGTGAAACTGCAGCGCAGCCAATGCTAAGAAACTTTACTGTGAGCCTTCCCGCCAATGACGAGTTCATTAATACCTTGTGTTACTCAACACTCAGGAGTTTGTTTTGTAAATTGTCAGGTGGACTCAGATGGTTATAACAATTTAAAATAACAATTTGAATGCATATACAACATATAACCTGTTAATGTATGATAACCAAAGCGTGTTGTTTTGAAACAAAAACAGTTTTTACCCGCATCTTAGCAAGAAAATGGAATGATCCCAATTGTGGGCGTGCCAATATAACGGCGCCATCAAGTTTAGATTGGACAAAGACCCAAGTGTTTTGCAAAGTTGCAAGATATATTGCTAACTGACAGTCCAAATAATTCTCAAAACGGCTGTAAGAAACCAGGTGGTTTGTTTCAGATAGTATTTAAAGCAATAATTAAGAAAATTGGTGATTTAATTCACTCTTTTTGTCAATAATAAGAATTTTTATCATCAGACATAAAACAACAGAGTATGAATAGGATGATTTTGACACACACTGGTGACAATCATGCTGTACTTACCAAAGCCAGCATTCCAAGTAGGGTATGTGGCGTCACTGAGTAATGATCACTGAGTCTATCACAGTAGAATATAACAAGAGCTCTCACTAACAGAAAAAATAGAATTATAGACAACATTGTAACAATGTCCTCTTATGATGAAAAAACTTGTTCTGGAATTGTAAATTTGAGCGTGCAAAAAAAAATTAAATTAAAATAATCGTTGAAAATTTTAAAGAATCTTAAAAATAGAACAGCATCAGTGTTTTTCACAAGTGTGTGAGTGCCCTCTAATGGTGGAAAAAAGAAATTGCATTTACAACTTAAATGATCATTTCAATAATGAAAACATTTTAGGAAACAGAACAGCATCAGAGTTCTCCCTTAGCAGATTAACATTGTGGATTTCCAATATTTCAAATTATCGATATAATGAAAAAATGCATGTATAACATGGTTTCTATAGCAACTGGACAATCACTTCTGATACTTACTTTCAACATTGATATATTTTTTGATTGGTACACAAAGGTCAAAGTCATATTACAATAAGTAAGCTCTTTGAGCACCAAAGTCAACTTTTGCAAAACCTTTCACAAAACAAACCTTCAAATTAACAACAACCAATAACAAATTATGTCTATCTGATCCAAAGTTACCAAAAAACAATTCCACATAAATACATTTAAATTATGGCACTCAAAGAATTAATAGACACAAAAACATGAAATGTGCATAACATGACTGAAACCAGCAACTGCAATGTAAAATAATTCATAACTATTATTATCACCTTCGTCTGAACTCAGAAAGTTCTTTGGTAACCTGTTTAAGACTTCTGACAAGAGTCTGGTTCCTCTACATCTAATATTTTTCTCGGTACTTGTAAGATAAGTTCTGAGAACGAAACAAATTAAATCAGACATTTTATACATTGTAAAAAGACAACTTGACACTCATTGATATGAATGTTTTGACAACTAGATTATGTTATTTCATACATTTCTAAATGAAATCAATAATCCCAATACTACCATTTTCATTTCTTTGAAACAAATGTTGATCAAGGTTTGGAACAAGAAACAGGTTAGAAAGCAAATTATGATCAGAAGGAATTCACGAATAATATCCAACAGATGTCACATGACCCAATTTACAATTATTATTCACCGAAAAATAAATACATTTCTTGGGCCCTATCACGTGACACCTGTTGATCTCTGAACCGTGTGACCATCATGTGTTTTATAAATGACTAGAATATTACTGTTGAATGGTAAAATTGAAAAATATGTCTTATGTGAAATTAAATGATTTAAACTTACCCCAAGTTCTCTACTAATTCTAGAATTTTGATTTCTGCTGCGTGAATTGCTGAAAACAATAAAAGTGGATATTAAAACAATTATTATCATGTAATATCAATATTTAGACTTGACCAATAGTGACTCAGGGTGTAGATGTGTAGATTACTTTTCTGCTTCACATACTCCAACCCTTATCCTGCCAGCCCCATGTACTTGCATTTAATCAGAGACAGTATAGTATGTCTATGATTTAATTGAACAGTTAAGAATTAAGTTATTTTTTTAGAATGGTGATTTTGTAAAAAAATTTTTTCCTTTCCTTTATCAAATGTGTTTTTAATAAAAATTGTTTTCCCTGGAGGATTTTATTTGAAATTTTCACACTGTAGAATTGTTCTAAATTTTAAACTAACCCTAGAGTTTCTAATAGTCAACCTATTAATGAGAAATTCTATTTTTATTTTGTTCACAGGATATAGTTTACGCAAGCTAAGCCAATTAACATACGCACAAATAGTAAATAATATCAGGTTATTATGAGGATACCTCAAAGTATGCATGAAGACAGTACAGCGAGAGTATCTTAGTGTATACTTTGAGGTATTCTCGTAATAACCTTATTATTATACATCTTTTCCTTGCAAGGATACATCAAGGGAATGTCAAAACACTAATTTCCAAATCTTCTACTTATCCCGTGGGCGCATGGCATTGACTGGGGCATGATCAGATGCTTCCCTGGAACTTGCGCTACGAGCCACCGCCATAGTGCATTAACATGGCACGTAACGCAAGTTGTGGTGTAGTTACCGGTATATACCAAATTACGATTGACATCTTCAAACACGTGTTACGCATG